CAGTATTAGGTGGCTCCTGTATTAGGACTATCACTTGCAAGATATATGTATGCATTATTGATACTGCAAATTGTAACTTGTCTCCAGTTATAATTTGTGTTGTTTATGTATTGTCCCTTTTCTTTCTTGTATCTGTTAACAACCTCTGAAGACCATTAATTATCACTAGGCCAACATGCATTGTAAGAATAAAATAATCTTTTTCAACCTTGTGAGACTTTGGGGCATCTACAATGTAGAAATAATTCCATTTGACTCTGCTTTAACTGCCATGGTTGCATCGTATAGAATTTTTGGATTTGTAGTTTTGTGAAGCACCACCACTCTATGGAAGAGAAGGATGAAGATCTTATAAAACTAGAAATCCCAGGATCCCATATGATGGTTCCACAGAACTTAAAGTGGAACTGCATTATTTCTATAAATACCTGCAGGAATTAGAACTGTACAGTTGCATAATGACCATATCCAGTAGAGTGTTGCTGTTATGTTATTACATAACAGAGTGAGCAAAGTGCACAATCTGCATTGGTGCACAATTTGAATCTGATGTGCATAGATGTGCAGTGCCCATCAATATGCTTTCTTCACTGTCCAGCCCTCACATCCATACATGGTAATGGGAAATATAATGGCTTAGACAATCCTAACTTTTGTGCTCAGTTGGATATCATTACTCTATAAGATCTTCTCGTGTTTTTTCATAGCTGCTTTCCCCATTTCTAGTCTTCTTCTGTCCCATTGTGCATCTTCACAATTCAGTAAAGATGTTTCTTAGCACCTCTTTAACTTCTAGGTATACATAAAGTTACATAACTTAAAAAATCATATAGGATTCTGGCATATGTTTCTTTTTTCAATCTCCATTTTGATATCACTCATTTTAGAGAAAAATCAGCAGAACTTTGAGGTACAATTACTAGGTGCTATGACTTGAACAAATACAAGAAGTATATGTGTGCATGTGTGTGTGCTTAAAATAATCAGTAATTTAATTGATCTGGAAGTGCTTTTTGCTCAGGAAACTATAGGCCAAACTTAATCCCTTTAATTGAAGATGCTAGGAACTGAACACGAGCTCTTTTGCAGTTGGAAGACAGGCATGAATCTGTAAATCATGCAGAATTGGAAATCAGGGCAGGTGTACAATATTTACTGGGGTGCTTGAAAGCAACGTTTTGCCTGGGCCACTTCAGATGTATCAGACTACCTATTCCATCATCAACAGATATAAACAGATTGTGTGTGTGTGTGTTCAGTTTGAATTCAGAAATGTAAGAATGGTTTAGTAAACATTGGTTTTCACCAGTAAATGAAGGGAAGGCAACCTAATTATCTGGCCATCAGCAGGTGTGTGTGTGTGTGCGTGCACATGCATTTGCAAAAAGTGATCCTTTGTTTGCAACGTGCAAGTCAGTGGTTGCTTTTCCTAGAAATGAAGATAAATAGTTTATACTTGAAGAAAACCAATGTATTTGATACAGACTTGGATACATTCTTCCAAAAAGATCTTTGGACATGAAACAGCTTTCTTGTTCTTTTCTCTGCTGCCCTCCCCTTCCATTCCCCCAGCCCATACAGCTGCATAATTCCTCTTCCCTTTCAGCCCTCTTTGCATTTCCCCACTTCATTCTCTGGTGTAGTTGCCAAGGTCAATGCAAATCACTCACTGAACTTCTGCCGAGAGCAGCTTAAGTCTTTCCCCCGCATTTGTGTTCAGCAAATGAACCTACCTCAACAGGCTGAAGGAGTTCAATCCCGCTGGGACCCCAGTATAGCCTCTGATATAATCTCCCTCTCCAAATCTACAGCATGAATCTTTAAGCACTGAATCCCAAATCAATGAAATTAATGATCTCACCCACTGCTAATTTATACCTGTCTCTAAATGAAGACATAACTTTTATTTTGTCCAACTTGCTTTGCTCGCGCCTGACATTAATACGGAGGCTAAGAGGGATCAAAGGAGACCTGGGGGGAATTTTCTTCACTCTTCCACCATGCATGCTGAAATATTACATCTCTAATTAAACAATGGGCACTTTAAAATCATTTCAGCATCCAGGGCCAAAGCTGCAGCTTCTGTAATTACAAGGAAAGGGAGGAGACCATTGATAAATCCGAACAGAAGATAATGTGAATGATTCATTTCAGTTGTAGCTTTCATTCAAGGATCAAAGGTTTCCTGGCAACCAATGTGATCCTATGAGCACCTAAATTACATTAATTCCCATTTCATTATAATGTTGGCTCTTATAAATACCTCGTTTTATCATTGATGAATAATTGTTTTTATATGGTTCTGAAATGACAGAACAAGTGATTAACATGCTCAGGTTAGGCTCAGAGTAAATCGTATGGGTTTTGAGAAAGTAAAGCAGAGTCAAAAGCTGCTTTGAAGCTTTTTGATGCCTGTCAAAGAATGATTTGTGACCTATCAAAATTGTGACCTGTCAAGAATGATTTATCACCTGTCGAAATGATGGGTGTGTCCCTCCCCTGGAAATGCTAGCATGGGACATCTGTGTCGTGTGACCCCCCCCAGCCTAGCCCCCTTGAGGCCATGTGACCTCTCTAAGACTACGCCTCACTACTCCCCAACCAATGGGAGCTGCTTTTGGCCTCCCTCTGAACCACATGTTCCAAACTGGCCAATTATGCTAGATTTTCCTATGTGTTCCAATTGGCCCTTGAGGTCACACAATTCCTGACCAATCCCTGACCAATGCTACCATAGAGAGAAGCAGCCATTTTATGCATGCCCAGACATGTTTTGCGGAGGCAACATGGAAGTGCCAAGCATTCCTCAGAGGCTGGCAGGCTCTTCTACTACCAGGGGAATAAAACCCACAAAGATAACATCCTGGCCAAGTTATAATGGGCTAGTAGGCTTTTCTAACCCTCCGGTACCATTGAATATTCAATCTAAAAAGGAATCTAAAGAGCCTGAAAAAATATCCCCTCTAAGACCACGCCTGAAGAGCCTGAAAAGTTATAATGGGCTCGTGTGTTTGTGGACTTTTCTAACTCTCCATGCTCTCATTCAGACGTTCATCCTCAAGCGAGGGCTGTGGTGGGTCACAATCTCCCTCTTCCATCACCTCCTCCATCTGAGTGGCAGGTTTCAGAACACCCATCAGTATGGATTTCATTGACAAGGCCTCAGATATAGAGTGTGATTGTGTTGCAATTTAAAAGCTGTTCTTCAGAAGACGGAGAAGAAGGAAGTGCCCAACACTCTACAGAGCCCAGATGAATCAGATGGCACAGGCCTTTTGAAACCTGCTGCTCATATGAAGGAGGTGATGGAAGAGGGAGATCATGACCCACCACAGCCCTCACTTGAGGATGAACCTCTGAATGAGAGCATGGAGGGTTAGAGAAGACCACAAGACCATTATAACGTAGACAGGATGTTATCTTTGTGGGCTTTATTCTGGAAGAAGAATAAATAGAATAATAGAAGAGCCTTCCAGCCTCTGAGGAGTGCTCGGAGAATCCATGTTGCCTCCAAAGAATGTATCTGGGCATGCATAAAATGGCTGCTTCTCTCTACGGTATAGCGCTCTCTGCAGCCAGCCTTCTGGTTGGCTGGCTTGCCCCACATGATACTCATGGGATGCAAACCATTGGTCAGGGATTGTGTGACCTCAAGGGTCAATTGGAACACATGGGAAAATTGAGCACAATTGGCCAGTTTGGAACATGAGGTTCAGAGCAGGGCCAAAAGCAGCTCCCATTGGTCAGAGAGTAGTGAGGCATAGTCTTACAGAGGTCACATGGCCTCAAGGGGGTCACATGACATAGATGTCCCATGCTAGCATTTCCAGGGGAAGGACACACCCATCATTTTGACACGTCATAAATCATTCTTGACAGGTCACAAATCATTATTTGGCAGGCATCAAAAAGTCATAAATCATTTTTGACAGGATCTACACTATATACTACTATCAAGCATGTGGATTTATTTTTGGTAATTTGTTTTGCAAATCTACTTTTGGTTCTAGTGTGTTATTGTCACAGAAAATGAAATAAATATTAAAGATGTGGTTTCATTCACACAGTGGGTAGCAGCTTTTGCTTATTCAACTGTTTTAATGATCTTTTATTTCTTTATGCACTGAGCAAACACAAATAGCAAACACTTAACCCAGAAAGCTTATTAAAGGGTAGAGTTACTTTGCTCCTTAATAGCTGAAAATGGCATCTATTGTGTGGTGCCTGGAATATGAACATTTATTTAAATTTGGACAATTAATCAACTAGTTTAATGAGCTAAAGACAAAAGTTTATTCAACCAAAAATGATACAATTGGTTAAGAGTTCTAAAAATCAATTCTCTAATCATAGGACTTTCTCACACCTTTCTTCTGTCTACTTTCAAATAGCAAAAATTTCTGATGAGGGAAATAGTTGCTTTTATATTATGGAGGACATGGATTCCAATCAATGAAATCAATCAATGACATTTGCTGGCTAAGAAGTTGGTGGTGAGTGGTTGTATGATGAACAACCAGCCGTGCAGGACTACAGGAGAGGTCAAAGGTGACTATCACCTTGAAGCCTAATCAACGACCACATTTGGCATCTGCCAGAAGCCAAAAGATCTTTGGGTGCACTGTAAGGGAATGGATTGGGTCTTGACAACAGTAGATGCAGTACTTCATTGCTGGATTAACCATTAAGCTAAAAAGGCATGAGCTTAGGGCATCAAGGGAAGAGGGACACTACATAAATTTTCCACTGCCAGACTTACCATGGACCATATGGTGCAAAACTGCAAATGGTGCATCTGAACCAGGTTCCACAAAAAAGACTTCCATAATAAATGAAAAAAAAATGCATACATATATATATATAGTTCTTATTGTGTGCCTTCAAATTGTTTCCAGCTTATGGACCCTATCATGGGGTTTTCTTGGCAAGATTTGTTTAGAGGAGGTTTTCCATTGCCTTCCCCTGAGGCTGACTTGTCTAGGGTCACCCATCGGGTTTCATGGCTGAGCTGGGAATTGAACTCGGGTTTCCAGAATCACAGTCCAACATGCAAACCACTGCACTATGCTGGCTCTTTAAACATATACAGGCAGCCCTACATATCCTCAGAACACCTTGAAAATATTTTTAAAATGTATATATTTCAAAAACCTTGATTTTTGCCATTTTATATAAATTGTTAAAATTGGCTAAAACTTAACAATAAAAATTTCAAAACAATTAGAGTCATCTCATTTAAACTGTATAAAATTACATTAAAATACAAAAGTTAAAACATAAACAGAACATACACTCCAATTTTAAAACTATATATATATATATCACCTGCAGTCATTATTTTTGTTTGTCTTCTTAAACTTGGATTGTAAACCCCTTTTTGTGCCTTCTGCCTTTTGTCTTTAATAATCTTTCCAAATCTTTAATGTTTTCTGCTAGTAGTATGGTATCATCAACATTGCTTAGGTGGCTTCAAACTTATTAGAATCAGGATAATAGGTATAGATATAGATTAAATATAGATATAAAAGTAAAAAAGGTAAAGGTTTCCCTTTTGACAAGTTTGTCAAGTTGTGTCTAACAGTAGGCGGCAGTCCTCATCTCTGTTACTAAGCTGAGGGAGCCAGCATAATCAAAGACAACTCCATGGTCATGTGGCAGAATGTTGTTTACCTTCCCACCAAAGTGGTACCTATTTATCTACTTGAACTTTTACATGCTTTCAAACTGTTAGGTTGGCAAAAGCTGGGACTAGTGATGGAAGCTATGCGATGCTTGGGTCTTAAACTGCTGAACTGCTGACCATGTGATCATCAGAGCCAGCGTCTTAACCACTAAGCCACTGCATCTTTAGATAGAGATAGAGATAGAGATAGAGATAGATAAATACACAGTATGCAATAGTAATATTTATATTAAGACATAGTGTACAAATATACAGTACACAATAGTCACATA